TTATTATTAATGATCAATACATTTATTATACATTTGAAAACCATCGGCGGATTAGAACTAATTTATTTAATATTTTATGCATAATAATATAAACATGTATTGATACTTCCCACAAACGTTCAGTCGAAATTAAAAAAAAAATGTATACACGCGTAAACCCTAACGCGTAATATAGGCTATATGCATAATATTCGAAATCGTCGTCGCGGAGCGCGTTTCGCGCGCACGGCTCATAATCCAAAAATCATTAATTCGTACCTATATACAATATGATCTATAATATTATATGTATAATAATAACAGAATATAATGTGTACGTAATGCATACGCACTCGTAAACTGATCAAATACGACACGCCCTTTGTTTTTTTATTGTTACATTGTAATCCAATCTAAACAAATTTATACGAGTATATTACATATAGGTATTCGTCACATAATAACAATAATAATAATAGTGATACATGCATACACATACACTTGTAATTTTGACAACCGCAGAGGCGAACAAAAAACACGTCGATGGTACGTATTATAATATGCACTATAATATTTGAATACGTATAACGCGCGCCCCTTAAATGAATTGATTTTTTCGCATAAACACATACGTATGATATATATAGGTAGGTACATTTGAATAGGAAAAAAAAACGTGTACAGCATTGCGAAAAGTCTATGCTATTATTGTGTCACCGTGAGATTTCCAATCGTTGTTGATACCGCAACTCGATCGACCTATTATATATTTTCATATATGAAAAAATAAATAATGTATAATATTACTATTCTCTTGTACATTGCAATAATAATATATTATTATCGTTTTAATTAACTCTCAGCTGTGATGCGCGCGGTATCTAACTATAATAGTATTTTGCACAACTGATCTAAACGTTCATCCTGACAAAAAATTATTTCAATTTGTTGATCTCGAATAGTTATTTACAGCCATTGGAACACGTGGTCGTATTATACGAGTTGATTTTATACTTAAACTTGATTTGACATCATCATAGTCGAGTGTTAACTAAAACAATATAATAATATAAGAACCCTTAGTACAATACTTAATGTTTATTATATCCACTATTTTACTGTAATTGTTTTCTCAACCAAAAATAGCGGTTGTCCACGTATTTATAGTTTGATATTTTATTTTTCCACGATCACCTTTATGAGACAAATTGTGATGCTGATTGACAATATGTGACAAAAACAACGTATTTTTTTTTTTTTAAGTGTTATATGGCATAAGTGTATAACTGTATAAGTTTAAACAAAAACATTACTTACGCAATATTATAGCGTTCAACCAATGAAGTAAATGACTATAACATATAATACCTCCGTATAATATAATATTCGTCTAATCGTCATATAATCGAGTTGACTGGCTTTGTATGAGCTGTACCCATTATATTTATAAGAATTTCGATGGAAAACAATAATTATATTATGATGTATTGATGTGAATATTTTGACAATTATTTTACGTTTTACGTCAACGTACATCTCAATTATAATTTATAATGGTAAAAATAGCATATTATTTATCATTCAAATACTAATGACAATAATATAATATAGAACCAGCCATACCGTTGTAAAACATACATAGACGATACAATACGCGTAATAATGGTTTGATAAAATACTTTTCGACCACGATTTTATTCGTCTCGTTGTTTATTCAATTTAATTAACCATTTTGTATTTCTAAACTTGTAAAGTGGCTCACTAACCATGCTCAATCACATTTTTCCTTAAGTAATACATTTATTCAAACCTGATTTTTTTGAAATTTTTAAAACAAGCATACTTATAAGAACTATACTTATTATTTAGAATTGTATACAATTTAAAAAGTTTCTTGTGCTAGTATAGGCTTTTTTTCAAATGAAACCCAATCGTTTTACTATAAATTGATAAGTATAATTTTTTTTTTTTTTTTGAAAACTTATACAAGTTCTAAATAATCATAGGCTAATAAAGCGTCTATTATTACACTATTATTATAGATGTATTATCCATAATATACAAATCACTCATAAACCATAAAAACTATTGATTCAAATTTAAATTTGGGTTCATATTAATTTTGTAAAACATTATCTATTTAACAATTTACATTCTAATTTTACAAACACATTTTAATATCGCCACAGAACCAATCATTAAATTTATATGATATTTGTAGCTATAAATATCTATTTTTTCTTTTATGAAATATGTATAGACTAATGAAAAAAAATTAATAAAAAAAAAAACATAAAATTTAAAACACAATAATAACAAAAAAAAAAAAACAAAAGAATTATTAGAATGAGCCATAAGAGAAACACTACATAATATATAAAACACCATTTATATAATACTACAAACCAAATTAGATACATTTTTTTTAATCTTATAATTTTTTCATTTTAATTAATTTTGTTCTTTATTTTTCATACTCCTTATTTTTTCTTTTTACCTTATTTATACCTCTTTCGGATTATTTTAAAATATTTAATAAAATAGTAAAAATGATAGGTATATAAAATCTAACCTAAAGTATACTTAAAAATCGTTATAATAAGTTCATTATTTAATGAAAAAAATGAGAAATATCATGCTTGGTAAATCATTTTGTAAAACTGCATGTAACAATAATAATAATAAAAATAATAAAAATATGAATACGTAGTCAAAAGTCAAGTCACCGTTAAGTCTATTTATGCTTGATGCTACAATTACGTCTATAATATATTATAATGATATATAGTCATCTCGTAAGTCACAGAAATCATCATCATTATATAATACACATAAAATTCAATAAAGTTCACTACTTTATTTTTTAAGCGATGAGATCGCAATATATTGTAATAATAATATGACCGATTGTCTGCAATAATAATATATATATTACATACATATAACTATAAAAATACCGTATAGTTATAAGTTTATAACCTGGAAAAATAATGAAAATATATTCTGAGACTTCTTTGAAATAGTCGCACGATTTCTTTCCACGAGTATCCACTTTGATAAACCCCTTCAAATAATCTGTCACCCACCCGCATTCTAACTCGTAACTGACATATATTTATTTAACTATTACTATAAAAAATAGATATATTACTACTAATACTAGACATATATAGACGCATACTAGTTAAAAATACTTTTGAGATGTATCACATTTAGGTATCTATTAAAATAGTTATAAAAATAAATTTCGATTAACTTACTTAAAATTTTTACTCGTCTATAAGATCAGAACCAAAATTTGTTTTCGCAGAAATATTTTATTTTGTTAGATAGGTAAAATTACCACAAATTCTCTTAGAAATTGAAATTTAAGCGTATATATTAGGGGTGGCCAAACTGTGGTTCCCATCATAGACTCATATGCGGCTCGCATCTTATCGTAAGATACAAACATTATTACAAGAAAAATTATTTTCAATATGAATTTATTTTTATTTTTAATTATTAATTAATATCATATATTGTTTTGCATTTTATACGTTTTATTTCAATTTATATTTAATTATCTTCTTTACGATAATCATACACATACATAAATATGAACTTTTTTTTTCATTTTAGCTCTTCCATATTTATTAATATATTGAGCGGCTTGCAAGTCACTTTTTACTGGCCACCCCTAGTCTATAGTAATATTTAATTGTTAAAAAATAAATCGTGAAAAACGCACTCATTATTTTACTATACGTATAGTGTATAGGTACCTCTGGGTATAGAAAATAGGAATCTACCCACACTAATCCCATGACCAATTCAATTAAAACGTATAGACGTAGAAACGTCTAACAATATGTATTATGTAATTGGACATTTTGTGACCTATTGTGTGCCCCGTCAATGGCAGGTATAATAATGTTCTTTATGGTTTAATAAAATTAATAAAAATAATAGTACGACCGCCTACAACGATTCTAATTCCAATATATTATCTCTGATGCAATTGATATAGAAAAATGTGGTTATAATATAATGTTAAAAAGTACATATATATTATTAAAAAAAGAAATATCATATTAAATGAAAATTATATATCAAAGGAATGAATATACCTAGATATAAAGTAAATTATAAATTTTAATTAGCAAACCTTATTCAAGTTCTAGAAACTTGTAATAAAAATAAATTTAATATCTAGATAAAATGATGAAAATGAGAATTTACGAGTAATTGATTTTTTTCTATTAAATGATGAAATAAAGCGCAAGTTTACTGTATTCTTAGTTTTAGTAGACTAACTTTTTTTTCATTTATACAAGTCTCATTAGTTTTCAATGGAACAAAATATTATTTCTGAATTTCAAATGTATATTTTTTATGTATTATATCTTTATATCTATGACGCGGTGCTGGCAAGAGCCAAAATTTCAAGATAAAAAAATCACAACACATATTGTTTAAAAGAATTATAACAATTTATGTACTATATTCGAATCGAATCGTCAAACTTATGACATAAATATTAATTAGATTCGTGATCACGTTATACATAATAGCTGCAGAGATACATTGACTTTTCTGTACACTAATAATTCGCACAACGAGGAAATTCGATAGCGATAAAGGTTTAGAAACGCAAACTTTTAAATCTTTTCTCGGGTTGAAATTCATAAGCGGTAGGTGCGGTATGTTAGCTAACCGTGGTATAAGACATAGTTAAGAGTTATACCATTGGTCCTCCGCGATAGTAACCGATTTCGGACTGCGAAAGTTCAAATGAGAATTCGACCGCGGTTTTGGTTATTGCGGGACCAAACAGACCAAACGCTGTGGCTATGGCGTTTACTACGCTATGGCAAACGTTTACTTTGCCATTTAGCAAACAGATAGCACTAATTTCTCCGTCATAAAACATTTCCAACGTTTTCCGCTATCAGATATATAATACTGTAAACATTCGTCGTAATAGTATTATGATAATAAAATTAATAATATGATTTTTTTTTTTTTTGATTTTTTTGCAGCCGATTTCGGCGCAGAGTCGGACACGGACAACAAGCAGAACGCCGCGGCCAGGGAATCGGACGCGTCGTCCAACGTGTCGGACATCAAAATGGAGACGGGCACCGGATCTTCGCTGAGCAATTACCGGTACAAGATCGACTACAGCGCGGACTCGATGACGGTTACCACGACCGCTACCGCAGTAGACGACCAGCATCCGCGGTCCACGACCCCGAAGAGCGGCGGCGGCAGTCAGACCACCCTCTCCCGCGGCATACCACTCGCCGGGCCCGTGCCAGTCGATCCCAAGTACGCCACGGCCGCCGGTTACCTGGGACACCTACACCAGAACAATGTCATGCACCACCCGCTGGCCAATGGCTCGGTCATGGGCGATTACGCGGACCCGCTCAACTACGTCAGATACACGAACAACCATCATCACACCGTGAGTACTCCTCGTGTCATAACTATATAATAGAACGTCCTGTAATCCTGCTGCGGTGCATTCATAATAATATTATACGTCATGTCGCGTAAAGAGTAAACGCGTTCGTTTATTTTGCGTGCGCGATGTAAACGATTGGTACGCGCCGACGTTTCGATTCGGCGTTCACAATTTTCTAATAATAATTATTGTCATCGCTATTATTATTATTATTGTTGTTTGACGCGATTACATAGTCTCGACACTCGATAATTGGCTAGTTATATATTGGGTCGCTTTTCGTCCACGAATAATCGGCCACTAAAGGATGGCTGCTCGCGTATACCTATATATGATTACATAATAAGTTTTCCGTCGTAAAATATGAAAATCGGTTTTTGTTCGTTTCGTTCGTTTAAAAATACACGTCATGGCGGGCGAGAAAATCCCCGTTTTTAAAATGTCATTATGTTTGTCTATATTATTACTCCTCCTCTCGTTCGTTTTTTACCCGCCGGCGTATATAGGTAGGTACGCTTAAACCGGCTAAAGCGATTTTCTCGTGAAATTATTATTATAACTGAAGTACATCACAAAGCCGCACTATCGAGACACAATCCATCATCGATGGATTTCCGTTCTCGGTCGGATTTTACCACAAAGCTCGGTACCTAATGAGTCGCTCGGATTTGTACGTGAATTTAGACTCGCGTGGTTTTTGTTCGTGTATACCTATTTAAATTTAAAAATCAGCGAATTAAATTCACGTGTAATCAATTGATAAATTGCGGATATTTATTTCAAGTTTAATTAAAATATAATATTTATTATACCAATATAATATATGTTAATAATTGCCATCAAAAAAATAAAACTAAAAATATCTGTATCTACTATTCTAAAAATAAATGTTTTAAAAAGAGTATCATCGTAAAAAGACAGGACGGTTAAAGCAAATAATTCGTGTTAAAATAAATAACCGATTAGTGATTAGTGAGTACCCGATTACCGATGTGTAAAAACTAGAAACCATTGAAATATACCAAATGTATTGAAAATTAAATTATTCAACATGTAATAATAAACAAGTGTTTAAATAATAATAATAAAAAAAAAAAAAAATGCACGTGGAATAAATTCACAGATTTATGTGTAGTCAAATTAACGGATTTACGTTACTAAATTCACAGACTCGCGTGAACTTTAATTTTACGTGTACTAGTGAATTTAACTAATCGTGAAATAGAGACCTTTAGACAGTCTAGACTATACATACACATAGACTTACCGAGCGCAAACACGCTAATACCCTCAGACACAATTTTAATTTTATTCTTGGAAGAATTGAACAAATGTATGCCAAAAACACTCATTAATGATTTTCGTGCGAAGTTATCACCCATCTAGAGTAGTATAAATTATAACTTAGTAAATAAAAAACGATATGGAATAGTATTTTAGCTAAATTTAAAAAAAAAAATTACCACTAATGCATAGCACTAAGAATTAATACAAATAATACGATAATATTATATTTAAGATTTTAATTTTAAAGTTTAAATAGAAGAATTTGAATCTGACTAGAAAATAAAATTCATTCTCTCACATTTAGTGTTTTGTTTTTTTATTGTCAGACAAACAAAATATAAATTCGCTGTTGAGTTATTGATGAGATGAGAATGCATGTACAAAGTTGAGGATATTATTAAAATAGTACTGCGTAGCAGCTTTAATAATTGCGTTGTGATAATAATAATTAATTGTTTACTTACACATTTATTATGCAAATTGATAAATTTCAATAGTTAATGAACTTACTACCTAATATTTTATTTTATGAAGTTATTAAATTTAAATATAGTTATTAATATTAAAACCTATGTTAAATGGTAATTTATAATAAATTGTATTAGTGATGTTAATTGTTTTTCACTTTTTTCAATGATCAAAAAACTGTTTAACATACTTCTATAATTCTATTATATCTATCGCACGTTTTTGTACTTTTCCCTAAAAACTGAATATATTATTCTCAATGTTGAATTCTATCAGAATCTCTTGAAGTTAAACGGTAGATTGTTTTTTTTTTTTCAGATGACTTTTCGCTACTTATTGAAAATTTAGATTTAAGTTCCGTCGTGCAGTCGGCCCTATTAGAGTATTTATCTCACGCAAGTGTTTAAAATTTAAATAAAATGTGTGTATTTCTACCGTTTGAACTTTTTAATAAAGCCATTATTATGTACAGCGTTTTGTACAGAAAGACTGTGATTTTATTTACGACGAGGTATTTATTTTACTTACTTGCACATATAATGAAATCTTCACTATAGCGCATTTTATCACTCATCTCGCCGTTTGTTCCGAAATCCGAACTTTGGTTGTTTGTTCATTATCCATACATAATAAGGTATATTATGTATGTAACATGTGCTGTTTTGCTAAAAACTAAAAAGACTTAAAACTTATTAGAGAGATAATATTATAATAGGATACTCAACATACCTTCAGCTCTCTTGCTGTACAAAGACTTCCGTTTAAAAATGCGTAACTAGAGTATTAGATAATCGCTTTTCAACGAAATTAATTATTATCAACTAATATCTCGTAACGGAATGAATTTTACAAAATATGAACTAGATTATTTAATGATTTTTCGTTTCGTAATGATTAGGTATTAACCTGCATTATCGGTTATATTAAAGTCAGGGTCTATGATGGTTGCGCAAATAATTAATTATAAGGCATATTAGGAAATACACGACTCATCGTAGTATCTTTCCGACTTCTTGGAACTTTTTAATTACGGAAAATGTAATAATTAAACAGGCTTAGCAAGTCTTATACTTGAAATTAACATAAATATATATATATATTATACATCATCCAATGTATATTTAAATTATTGACAGTTTAACGGCTTATTCAAAATTACATGAATCATTCTAATATACACATTACACCTACACATATGCTATCATATTATGATATGAATTATGATACCATGTCTATTCGTTGTAAAAGATGCACACTTTACCATAAACAAAATGAATGCGGTTTTTTCATATGTAAACCCTTTTGGGACAAATGGTTTGGCGCTTATCGTCTTTACGTGCACTTATCTAATCGAACCTGTGTGTTCCAATAATCGAATTCTGTTTCGTTTTCGGAAATTATAGTGGTACTTAGTAGATGCTACAATTTATTTTATATGCAAAGACTTAGATAATTTCCTCATAAGCAGTTAATACTAAAATAAAAATATCTAAAAATATTTAAGCAATATTTATTTTTGTATAAAAATTTTAAATTAAAAAGGCAATAATTATTTGGAATTAGTAATAATTAATGTAAATCTATCAACACCTTATAATTTGAAAATATTGTTTGAGTATAATAAAAAATGTATTTAATATTACATCTATTTTGTATTTTCACAAACAATTTTTAAATACTATAATCTATAATACTATATTATATCTATAATACTATACTATATTATATCTATAATACTTATAATACTATAATCCATGTGAGTATAAATATTCTTTGATTCAGAAACCAGTGGTTTAAATTTTGACTTAAATGTATCAATGTTTTCAAAAAAATCATTTTTCTAATAGTTTACATTGAAAAGAACATTGGACATTCTTTAAATGTTGTAAAAATGCCAATAATGTAATTTTTTTAAACTATTTCAAAAAAACTCTGTATTTTTTCGAATCTCACAAATTTATGAGATACACATAGTTATACACAACGATATATTGTCTCTAACGATGGTTTTTACAAGAAATATATAACTTCATAATAATTATAGTGTTGTAGTAATAATAGCTAGCACAGTAAAACTCAAGAAAGTATTGTAATTTAATTGTCTAATAAATCTTTGATAAAATTCATTAATCACTACTAAAGAACAAAATGAGGGTGAGCATGCTTGGTGATTCACCCTGTGTATAATATTATGTATGTTTAGTTATTGTAACAACGAGTGAATGATTGTTTATATACTGGTTATAAAAATATAACGTCATGTAATATTATGTAGTACTAGTCAAAACACGCAACATCGTCATTTTATTATGCATTTCAACATTTCGTATCTAAATAACATAACCCCGACAATTAAGAACAAAAAACAAAATAAAATATATAGATACACGTGTTTGTGTGTGTGTGTGTGTGTGTGTTGGTTTTTTAACGAGTCGATACAGTTAAAACATAGTCTCAGATCGTATTGTGATACGAATATAAACAGTATAATATTACAAAATGTGTATTATATAACAATATAAATTATAATTATTAAGTAGCGAACATATTACACTCTTGTTTCTCGAGGGAAGTGGATTTCCTGTTTCCCCTATCTAACACCATACGGAACTACTAATAAAATTTCACTAGGTATATATAACAATAATCAGTTTAAAAAAATAATCAAGTCATGGTATGCAGAATAATTAACAAAACGTTAGCGGTGTATAGAAATATTCGTTTCCAAGTCACTTGTACCTATAAAGTATACTACTCAACACTTCACCACGACTATTAAATTGTTTCTTACACTAAATATGGTTGCGGCGAACGGAGTTAAGTCACATGTATTTCGTCAGCTTAAAGGGTTAACACAACTCAAACTACGACTTATAAAATATATGTAGTATGCCTACATATTGTATATTATTATTTAATAAATAATATTTATTGTATATAGTTATAGTAACAACGAAACATTGTTTTCCGCCGACTTGAGTATTATAATATTATTGATTTGATTTTAAGTCTACGTGAATTTGAATTGAAATAAATTTTTTTAGGTTTATGGAATAATAAACCAAAGACATTATTTTCCTTACACAAAAAGTGAATCATATGTATATGTATTGAAGGGTTAAATTTTGAAATTTTTTTTATTTTTTTAGTCATTTTTGACCTTTTTAAATATCTTTTTTGTTCTTTTAATTGCTATTAAGGTGTTTTTAATAATTTACATCAATGAACATTCATTCTTACTCTTCAAATTCTTCCACAAGGGACTCCCTTACGTT